TTTTTAAACAGAACTCATTTTAAATTTTAAGAAGGTTTTTATTTAACACTTTTATTACAATATTTATGTGGCAGCAATATCTAACAAGCTTCTGAGACACAGGATAACTTTTTGATAGACTTTGCAACTCTGCCAGAAGCAGAACTCAAAATAAACGTGTTATTTAAAGCAACTGTGAAAATAATAATAAAAGGAATGCTGTTAGTATCAAGAAGGTTTTCAATGCAAGGTCCAACAGCTATCCTATTTTACACAGAGGAAAAATGAAAAGAAGTACTTAAATTAGAAAAAAAAAATTGGGATATCTCTAACAATGCACATTTACCAAAAGCTAGAGAGATATATATTAAATATTTGCAGCAAAAGAAAACTTTAGTTGCCTGTACGTGAAGCTCATAAGTCATTCCACAGAACAGGACCAAAAAAACGAATTCCTTTTATTCCTCAAAAATCAGACGTGGTTCCATCTGGACCAAAAGTCACAGACTTCTTCCATTTATTCATTCTTTTCTCATTTCAAACATTAGTTACTATTTCTTCTCCTCTAGATAATAGGTTCTTAATTTGAGGGTCTATGCTACCTCACTGAGGTCGTCTAGGAGTAGATTGCAGGGATTCCCCAAACCCCTGGAAGTATATAGAAATCTTGAGGCATAAGAGCACATGCACATTTTTGGAGGGGTGATGGTCTATATCTTTTATCCACTTCTCAACGTGATATGTGACTCGATAAAAGTGAAGCTCCACGGCCTATTGTAGCAGTTTCCAAAGTAAAATATAAACATGATTCACTGGGGTAAGTGAAGAAAGTACTAGAATTTCTACTTATATTCATGCTCATTTAGAAAATAAAATAAGCTATAGCTTTATATTGTAGTATATCAGATTGAGATCATATTATATTTATTAATCAAAATATCAATAATATAAATATTTATTTTTATATATTATAATATATTATTAATGTACTAAAATATTTTACTAATAGTGTGTAGGAATCCAAAAGCCTGGAGAGCACTGCTCTAGATTAGTGAATATCAAGTTCTGTAATAAAATTTTGCAGGGCATCTTTAATTTACATGTGGGAGGAGGTAAAGGAACAGTACAATCTCAAATGCTAATATATTTTTATTCACTTCAATTTTTCAAGATACAGTTTATTTGGGAAGAAGGCAGCATACTGTGGTCGAACACTGCCTGGATGCTGCACACCCCTGTGTCACTGGGCATCACTATTTCTAAAGGTACAGAATTCCGTGACCATTGTCGCTATAACTTTCCAAAAGGCTTTAGTTTTGCTCCTCTCACTCCAGGTGTATAATACATTGGATTGTCCAAATTCTGTCATAGCATTTTTGTTTTGCTTTTAGTTTTCTCTAAGACTACCTCGTAGTTCTTTCCTCAATACAGATGGATTGAAAACATTTCAGACTAAACAAACATCTTAGCAAATACTTCAAGATTTGTACATTATGCAAAGTCATTTTCTGCCAAGCAATTTTCTTCACAATCTGTAAGGTTTATTTGCAATTTAATATTTTGACATTAAATACTTAAAAAATTGAAGGGCATCACAACCTTATCCAAAATTTTCTACCAGCATATTTGAGATTAAGTCTTAGATTTGCTATCTAAATTTTGTCCTGATTGCTATCTCATTGTTTAAATCTCAAATATTAACATTTTCCTGAAACTAAGTTTATTATGATGGAAAAGAATCTGCGCTGATGATAAAAGAAGTCTGGCTTTTAGAAGATCACTATTTTTTTCCTTTTGCTTACTTTTTTCTCTTTTTATCAGAATCTATTTATTTATGAAGCCTATGCTATTTTTTTTTTTTTTTGCAGGCATTGAATATGGGGAGAAATGGGCACAGATAAGGAAATAGTTTTGGATGAAAAAGTGTGTGGATTGTGTGAGCTACTCAAACAGATGCCCTGTGACAGATAGGTTAAGAACAAAGCCACTTCACGAGAAATATAAATGGCAATAAAATGTAAAATGTTTGACGTGGCTTAAAATAAGAATACCAAATGAGTGCACATCATCAACATAATAAAAGAAGCATTTAAAGGGAGCCACATTTTATCTAAAATCTGCAAGCAAACATGCTAAGAGCAGAAGGAAACTGAACTCAACAAAGATGACAAGGGACTAATTACTTCCATAAGCTCATGGCTTTCACAATAGGAATGATTCTTCTCCTTCCCGTTAGAGAATACAAAGATTTCCCAGGATTTGAGAACAGTCTCAACAAAGAATGTACATTATAACACTGTAAACTTTGGTTTAAAGTTACATTTTGGTGTCCTTGCTTTTAGCCTGTCTTGAGACAAGAAACTTGAACTTCCCCACCATCTCTACAACATTGAGTTTTTCTTTTGCAGGAGATGGTAATTCCTTCTTTTCAGGAATTGCAACACCTCTGGCCTAGCTCCTCTCATGACTGCCCTCCCACCTCTCACAGGTGTCCTATCCCTCCATCCTGCCACCCTTCAAATCTGCCTTCCTTTAACTTCCCAAGTACAGGCATCTAAAGAGTGAAATAGCATCAACGTGCACAATCAGGCAAAACAAATTCTTGATGTTGTACTGTTCAGTGAAGGGTAGTGATCTATGAAGCCGTCCCAACAAATATGTATCAAAGAGATTCCTTTTCACTTATTAATGATGATTTATCCAGGTAAAATCCACACACTTAAAACTACTGCTATAAGTCATTAACCCATTCTCTTTGGGACTATTAACTTTGCTTTAACAAGAACTTGAATGTGGGTTTAAAGTATTATGTAGCCCTAGGCTTCATTAGGCCTTTGCATGTAGAGCTCCGTTTGATGTAAAGCTGCACTTTCCCAGCTGGGTAGTCTCAGGGGGCCATGTCTCACCCCCTGCCACTATTTGGAGTAGATACTCTCCTTCATCCATCCCTTTCACTTGCTAGGCCCACCAGAGAACACCCTGTTCTGTCCTATGACTGCTTCTAACCTAACCATAGGACAGGCCAGGGCAGAGTCTACCTTGGTGTGACCGACATTATCAAGGAGAAATAATATGGAAGAAAGGTTAGTAAAATGCTGACGCAACTCTTCCTTCCTTCTCACCAAAGGACCTGAAGGGCTAACAACCTTGAGAGTAATGTGAATTTCCAATGCCAGACATCCCAGCTTTATATTCATACTTGTGGTAAAACACCCTGGATATAGCATGAATCATTTTCCTCTGAGATACAGAAGAATGTTCATTTAGTCATCTGTGCAAGGAAATATCCACCCTTATCCATGCTGTTTCTGACACTGCCCTTCGAAAACACACATCTGATTATACTGTTTTCTTTCTTTAATGTCTTTGAGGTCTTTCTTTGACATCTCCCTTGCCTAGTAGTTTTAAAACTGTTGGGGAGGGAGGCAGAAGCCAATGAGTCTGCTTTTTGTCTGTTTTCCTTTTTCTCTTGTAAGATTTATATTGAACAAAGGGCTCCATGGAAACTAATAATAATAATGATTAATAATAATAATCATCACACACCTTAACATGACGAACATCCCCTTCATGATTTATGTCCAAAGGGTCTTTCTGTTCTTATTCTCCTTACTCCCTACTCATCCCAGGCAACTGGCTGTCTGGAACACACGATGCATCTCTAAGACTCCATTTCTTTGTGTGTGCTAGTTTGTTTGCCTGGACCCTGTCTTTCTCCCTCTCTGCTTGATGAATTCTGCTAAGACCAAGAGATTCCTCCAAGCACTGAGTCTCCTATTTTGTGCTCCCACAGAATTTTGTAATTATTTATCTTGCGTTCATCTTTCATTTTCCTTTCTTGATAGAATGGGCCATACTTCATCTCTGAATTCCAAAAACAGCAATATTTCTGGCACATAGCAGTCATTGAATAAATGCTTGATGAATAAATAAATGAAAATAAGTAAATGAACCTATTAATATTTAGGTTCAAACTTTGTATTTTATTTCAAAGTCCAGATGGAAATACAGAGGTAAGGCAAAATGGAAAGAGGCATTTTAAATCTGTATTTCTCTTTGCTTCTTGATGCAAATATCTTTAGAAAACTTCAGTGGAACTGTATGCTTGCTTGACAAATATGTATGAAGAGCAAATTTATTTTGTGTACTGGATATAACATGACAGGACAAGAAGCCATGAATGGAAACAATAAAACCAGAATAGTAGGAACAGCTCCTAGAATTCTCAGGAGAAACAGGCTGATAGTGAAGCAGTCTTGGGACTCCACATTATTTTTTAGGATAGTTAAACCGCCAACAAGATTCAGAACCCTTAGCCCCCAAGCTTGTCATAGACCCTCTCTGTTCATTCTTTTCTCCACCCTCAATTCCACTCCTAACCTCAGAGCTCCTATTCTGGTCCTTGAGCTCCCATTCCTTTCCTTGAGAACTTACCCTTTACGGTCTCTGCCCCTAGATCAGTGGTCTGGATCTGAAAATGTTTCCATACCTCTCCACATCTCCATATCCAAAGTGGAGAAGACAGAGAGGGAAAAGGGATTCCTTAAATTTTTTAGAACCCAAGTTGTGGATTTTGAATGCCTTCTATCATGGAAATTATATATGTTCATCCTGCTTAAGGTCTACAAAGTATTCCATAATTAAGGAGCCTTTATAGGCTGGTCTGGAGAATCTATCACAGATGATTTAATTTCTCTGGGAAAATACTTTTTTTTTGGTAACTTTTTATTTAGATGAAATGTCAGACTTACAGAAAGATTTTGCAGGAATAGTACAAGGAATTCCCATATAGCTTTTACTCAGATTGCTTACATTTTCCTCTACTGGTCCACACACACACACACAAATATTTTTTGAATTCTAATTAACTTATAAACTCTAAAACAAAAATTATTACCACATTGGGGTCTGCTTAAATATTTGATGAAAAAGATATTTTATTATGCTTTTAATTTCCTATTATATTCCCTATAATAATATTAGGGCTCAGTTCCAGAAAGAAAAGTGTTTTTAAGTCTTTATTTTCCTTTTAAATGCTTTTATTAACTTCATATAATTGTAAGACTATAACTATATTTTCCCAAGGCCTATGGAACTCTCCAATAATAGGACTGGTATTTAATGAGACACATTCAGTCCTTCAAGACATTGGGGTATCATTTAGTAAATAGTAATCATTGTAATAGCTATAGTAGTACCCTTGGAATATGAGAGGCAAATCCTTAAAGACTTTTTATTCCTGAGGTCATCATGGGCTAGCCTGGGGACTAATGGAGACAATTAAGGGACTTTTAAACTGAGTTCTTCTTAGAACCCCACATAAGTTCAGTGTATCTGTGGCTCTGCTAATACTGATTTAAAAACTATACGTTCATCTTTTTCTTGCTTTGAAGCTGAGCTCTTTTTAAAATCAAATCCTCATCCCAAACCAAACCTGTGGGTTATTGAGTTCACCAGAGGTCTTAGTCTAAACTAACATCATTAAAAATAAAAGTTCAAGCTCCAGAAAAATGTTTGGAAATTTCCATAGTGAAATCACAGCATCATTTTCTTCATCAATAGCAACATTCTCTTTAAAAAATATCATTGAGATATTTCAACTAGAATAAACAATTCACAGATGTGTACTTAATAAGACAAAAAACTTGATGATTCCTAGGACATATACATACACCACAGTCTTCAACAAAAATACTTAAAAATAAGCTATCATTAGCTTAAAGCTAATTAGCAAAAAAGACAAGTCTTATTTCCCACCTCTGAACTTTGATTTTCTTATTGGAACTTTATATGGCTCAGCATGGCAATGGAGGACGTCTGCTGAAATAGATTAAATTACTCCGTGTGTGTGTGTGTGTGTGTGTGTGTGTGTGTAAACGTTTTACTTCTGTTCTTTATGATATGGTCTCTGGATGCTTACTTTACCTCCATGTTGCTTCCGGTTAAATTCAATTAGAATGATATTATTGCATTTTAATATAGGCCATAAGCCTCTTTTATCCTAAATATTATGACACAAAAACGAATTAATAGGAATTAAATTGCTAATATGAATTAAAATAGCCTTTACCATGTAGAGAATAAAAAAAAAAAGTCAAACAAAAGGAAATATTTATATGATGACACATTATGTTATGGAGAATATTTTTATAAAATAATCTTTGATATTTACAGAAGAACTATCTTATATTCATATTGCACCTAACCCATAATTGCTTGTTTTCTTAAAAAAAGAAAAGTGCACTAGGAAAGAAAAACATCTATTTTTTTATACACGCTAACAAGTAAATGAGGAAATGTAATAAAATGCAGGGTTGAAAGGTTCAAAGAGCTTATGGTATCAAAGACTATAATTTCCATTCAAAAAGCTGTTTTAAGGCAACACTATCACAAATACACTTGAATCACTATGGCATTCCACCAGGGCACGAGACTGCAGGCGACTCCATCAGGTTGTACAGTTAACTACAATTACCCGATATATATACAATGTGCTGAATTTTGAGTACAGGTAATAAGTGATTGTTATATAATAGAAATATCCCCCAAAAGTCACTTTTTGAGGTTTCTTTCTTTTTTTCACTGAAGAGTTGAAGTATTGAAGTGAATACATTTTTGTTATATTAAGTGGAAGAAAAAGTAGATTGTGACTTAGCTCCCGAAATTTTAATACTGCTCTTTAGCCATCTGCAATCCTAAAGTGCTGTCAGAGGTTCCACACATGTGTGAAGGAGTTAAACCCCAAAGACTAATAATCAGGTATATTTTGCTAATCTATTCCTGACGCTTTGCCTAAAAAATTGGCATTGCCATCTTCAACATCTTTCTTTTGGAACCACGGTTTTGAATTTGTTCCTGGTTGATAAGCTTCCAGAAAATAACAGATTCCAGGAATGTCACTGGGGAAGTTTGGTGGAAGTTCCTCTCTTGATCGAGGAGTAAACACAAAACCAGGACAGTCTTTGAGTAACCTGAAAAGATTAAATTAAACATATTAATATTAAATTTTAATACTGACATAACTGTCTACTCAAGAGAAGGCAACATAACTAAATGAATATTCCTGAGAATATTAATAAACCAGCCATTTTCAGTGTGATTGACAGAAAGATATTAATGACATTAACAAACATCTTCACAGAAGAAGAACAATGAAGGATCAATTCACCATAACAAAAGAATACTACCAAATAATGTATTTCACTCATATTACGAAAAAATAATTATAAAATATTTTTGTAAAGATATAATCTATAATCTAACACGGCAATTCACAGTAGTGGGAGAAAAATGCAAAATAATCCAAAAGTCTAATAATAGCAAAAAACCAAAACAAAACAAAAAACAAATAAATGTTATAGAATAAGGCTTCCTAATTTGAAAGAGGTAAGACGTTATCCATTTATCAATTCACTCATTTTGTAAATATTACTGAGAAGTAATCATGGGCAAGAAGTTGTGGAAGAAAAGTTCTATATAAGATACATAAAATAATGTAAGAATAACTTTTGGGTCTCTCAATAGAATTTTTATGAATTCTAGGTTAGTAGGACTAAAATGAGATCTCGTTGTACGTACTGACACTCTACTTACTATCTGGTATTTGCAATATTTTTTCTTCTTAAATTCATCTGTTTTACCAAATTTTATTATTTGCTACTAACTAATTGTCCATTATGTTAAACTAATTTTAAATTCCAATCTTACTGATTAAGTTACTGGCTCCTCTTCCCATTTGCTTCTCTAGCTTTCTATCAAATACAAACTTAATAAGCATCTCTCTACTCCATTATTCAGGCAACGGATGAAAAATGTGGAATAGTTCTGGGCTCCAAACCAATTTTTAAGAAAAATCACTATCATATCTCCCCAACCAGACCATGGCCCTCTACTCACACATCTGCAATGCCACATCTAAATGAAATAGAATGGTGATGCTGTATTAGATCTGGCACTGTGACATCCTTCTATGTATTAAAGAAACCAACTGAACAGAAATCCGGATCTCAAGAGTGACAGACCTCCAGGAGAATACAACACATGAGAATTCAACTAGTTAACTTTTATCAGTGACTATATATATGTTATAAATAAATAATATAAATATGTAATCTGCAAAATAACAAAACTAATAAAATGATGGCATAGTCACAAAATCATAAATATTTTTGAGTGCCTATTATTTATAAGGCATAGTCTTTGGTAATATATAATGAAAAGTTACAGAATTCCATAGTATTAAAAGTATAAGCTTTAAAGTATGGTAGATTTAGGTTTGAATAGCAGCAAAAATGTCAGTTTTCTAGCCTTTAAAGTGAGGATAATAGTACATGTCTCTTAGGACGGTTGTGAAGATTAAATAAATTGACTACAGAAAATTGATTAAGTATTAATTAGATATCACATAACACCCATTATACTGGCAACAGTTAGTAAGTCTGATAATATCAGGCATTGGGGAAGAGAAACCTTCAAATACTGTTGGTGGGATATGGATTGGTAAAACCAATTTGGAAGCTAATTGATGCTTCGTAAAGCTGAAACTGGGTATAGCCTGTGGTCTGGGAATATCACTTATATGTACACGATCTAGAAACATATGTAGAAGAATATTTATCCATGGGTAGAACCTGGACTCTGGCTTATTCATACTCTAGAATACATATTATATTACGCTAGATCTGGCTCTTACTGGTTTGTGTGAGCCAATTGTTAAACATTCAAGAATTCTGCAGGCCATTCAAACCATCAGTAGCCTGAAACCCGCCATGGCGGGAGTATTTATACCACAGAAACTGGCAAATGCTAGAAATCAGGGATTCTCCCTGAAGCTGGTTTGTCAGCATACCACTGCACTAGGAATAGTTTAAATAAATGAACTAGATTTACACTTCATCAAGAAAAAAAAATCTCGGGGCCGGTCCAGTGGCGCAGGTGGTTAAGTGCACGCGCTCCGCTGCAGCGGCCCGGGGTTCGCCAGTTTGGATCCTGGGTGCGCACCGACGCACTGCTTGGCAAGCCATGCTGTGGCGACGTCCCATATAAAGTGGAGGAAGATGGGCACGGATGTTAGCCCAGGGCCAGTCTTCCTCAGCAAAAACAGAGGAGGACTGGCAGATGTTAGCACAGGGCTGATCTCCTCACAAAAAAAAAAAAAAAAAGAAAAGAGAAAGAAATCTCAAAAACATAATATTGAGTGGATTCAAGGCAAGTCGTAAACGGATATGGAGAAGTTGAATGGGAATCTATTTTTCTCTGGCTTTGTTTTTCTGTCTGAACCTAAATGAGAGTGACATTCCTGGCCTCTCTCTGCCCAATTTCCTTCCTGGTAAACAGAAGCAACACATCTTAGCGGTAAGTTTGAGAGAAGCTGCTAGTATTTGTAAATACATGTTGTATTTTTGCTTCCGGAATTCATATGTTCTACCAAATTTTATTATTTGCTACTAACTACTTGTCCATTATGCTAAACTCATACTCTACTCAGGGCCTTCCTGCCTCCCTCTTTGGGATCCTGGCTGTCTGCAGGAAGTACACGTTCTCAGCTGCTCTCACAAACCCTAAGGGGCAGAGAGTCCAGTGTGTCAGAGAATAGGGGCCACAGGACAGTAACATTTTATTTCTTTTATAAAACAGAGATCTGAAAGAAATATAGCAAAATGTTGACATTTGTTAATTATTAGTACTGGCTACATGGGTGTCATATTTTCTTCTATTTTTTTCTGTATGTTTGAAATGTTTAAAAATTAAATATAAAAATGTATAAAACTATAAGGGTTTAGTAAATAAAAATGTATAGATCTATAGGTGATAGATAAAGGATTTATTTTTTCTATCCACATCAACCCAATATTTCTGGTTAAATATGGTAATTATAATCCTAATCTCGTATTTAAATTTATATAAAATATTCAGCATTTAGAAGTGGCTTTAAAGTATATCATTTGAATTTATTAAGTGCCTTGCTCAAGATCACACATCTGGTAAGCCCTGTATTTGGGACTGTAAGACACGTCTTCTGAATACAAATCCCCATGCTTTTTAAAGAAACTTACAGATAAACACAATTAGAACGTCATGGAGTTAGAAATGTTCATTAAATCATCTTTAAAAAAAGATCAGAGTTTATAAGAAAAACAGATCGGAAAAATAAAGCCATTTAGATGAAAGCTTTATGGTAGTAAGACCCAAGAATAGCAGCGACACTCCCAATGCAGATGTCCACACATGGTGGAAGTTTTTCTTTCCTCCCTCTTGACCAGATATCATTTCCTCCAAATTGCTGCATCATCTCTCCTATTTTTTGTCATCTCTCCTATATTCACCTATTCTGTTTGTTCTTCCTCCCTACGGAATTCAAGTCCTGCTTCTCTGTCACTATGTCCTCAGACCCCTCCCGCAAATAGGAGTTCCTAGGTCAACTTAACCCACCCACATTGGACAACATCCATTTATATTCCCCACCAACCATTTTTGTCTTTAATGATCCCTGGATCGCCACATAAACCTCTCATTAATCTGCCAACCTAGAACAAACAATATCTAATCTAGTCTCTGTTAGTTCTCTGCACTTCAGTAAAAACAAACAAAAATGCAGAAAATTATTCCCTAAAATAAAAGTAAAACTCCTCATGATGTTTAAAAGGAAGAAATGTATAATTGTCATTACATTGGTGCATTCTAAATTATTGATTAGAGTTTGGAAGTGGAAGTTTGAAGGTAAGGCTTTTGTGTGTGTGTGTGGGTATGGATTTCGTGTCCTAAATTTACACGTTTCATAAATATATCAAGGAAGCTATGTTTGTTATTACTTTATTATTTGAGAAATGCCATCTCAGAATTCAACGTATTACCAATAAAGCTCTCCAAAGAAATAGTTACCTTTTATATTTGTACAACTTCTAATAGAGTCTACTGCTTGTCCTGAACTTTGAGTAAAACTAAAATTTTGTCTTTTTTATATAATCCAATTATTAATAAAATTTCACAAAGCATGGACTTTTGACTGAAATTCAAATTATCTGTTCCCTTTCAAATTTTCTTATCATATGGAAAAAAATAGAGTACTTCTAAAGAAACCATTTAAAAACGTTGTTAAAAGCATTTCACATTATTTACTTCTTGCCTAATTAAAGCATTTTGATCATCACTTGCCCTTTAGATAAGATATAAATATTTCTTATGTGAGAATAAAAGGTAAATAAATTATTACTCAAATCCGTAAAAAAAGAAAAAATCAGTAAACCATACTTGTCTACAAAAAAGTAGAAATGACTTTAGCAAATGCATTGAAATTTCAATATAAATTAAATTTTCATTATCATTTAGGTGTATATAAACATATACTAAGAAATAATGAAAAAAACCAAAAAATGTGAATAGTTACTGTCTCTGGATAGTGAGATTATGAATTATTTTTGTTTACTTTATAACTTTCTGATTTGATAAATTTTCTAAAGTGGGCATATATTGCTATTGTAATAAAAAATATTTTATTAAAAAAAGGTTAACACTATAGTGTAAAATCCTGTATGTGCATTTCTAGTAACATTGTCAATATAGTGAATCTAAGGATGTAAGTTATGAGCCTTGTCCCGTTGCCAAAAATGGACATCCAAATGTCAGGCTCCTCCACTGGGAGACTCGAGATTCTGAACTATATTTTGGGAGTAAAATGATTAGCTAACATCAATGTATTCTATGATGATTCAAGACTACCAGACTTTGAGATGTAGAACAAAAGACAATTTTTTAAAGAGTTGAGTTGTATACTGCTTAAAACAATTAAAATAGAAGAAGCAGAAAGACATACTTTTTGTATGCAAAAGACAGATATACACACAAGGACTCCTCAACATGCACGCGGACACATATTATGTTACTGAAAAGTGAGAAAGGAGCATAGGCATCAGACTGACTCCTATGTTTTAATAGGATGATTCCTCTCAAATCATCCAAAGAGAGCAGAATCATATCTTCTGAGGGTACTGAGTCTTATCCCAACTGGCACAGCTGGTCAGACTATAGATTATTACTATGACAATGATCCCTAGGGACTTTTCCAGTTCTCATGAGTTATCTTCATATCAAAGACTCAATAGTCAATTAATAAATACTTATTGCTTTCCTAGTGTGTTCCAGGCTCTGATCTAGGAGCTGGGAACACAGAATGTATACCACAAGCGGCTAATATTCTACAAGGGGAGGCAGCAATAAACACATAAATAAAAGACCATTTCAGACACAGATATGAGCTGAGAAGATGATAATATGAGGGTGTGTGAGGGGAAGGTTGTTCCTCTAGCTATGGCAGTTGAGGAATATCTCTTTGAAGAAGTGACATTTGACTTAAGGTCTAGTTATGAGAAGGAGGAAGACATAGGATGATCCAGGAGAGAAGTGTAAAGCAGAGGAACAGCAAGTATCCTTGATTCAGGAATAGGTTTAGCAAGTCCGATGAATAAAAATGGGGCCAGTGAGTGAAGGAGACAGTGGGAGAAAATGAGGTGGCAGAGGGTAGCAGGACACTGACCAAAGAGAACATTTTAATCTGTGGTAACAAATTTACATTTTCTTCTGGTTGCAATGGGAGCCAATGGAGGGTTTTTAATGCAGGAATGACAAGATCTCGTTCATACTTTAGGAAGATAATCCAGCTGTTGTGTGCAGAATGAACTGTGGGGAGGACATGTACAAGAAAGCAAGCAGGAAGAAGAGTGAGGATGATACTGGGTTGGCTCAGGTAGGAGAGAGAAGGGTGCCTTAGCTTGGGCTGTAGTAGTGAAGGAGGTGAGAACAGCTCTGTATGCAGGATATAATTTGTAGGTGGAGGTGGTGGGCTGTGAAGGTGAGAGAGGAATGATCACTCTGAGGTACATGGTCTAAGTAACTAGGTAGATGGTGGTGCCATTTTAAGGAGATTGATAAAGCTTGGCTGGGTGGGAAGTGGGTTTCATTGGGTTGGTGTGTGTGTGAAATCACTTATGATCACATTAATTTTAATACATTAATTAGTCATCCAAGTAGAATAGAGAATAGGCTATATACCTCTGTTGCTCAGTGGAGAACTATGGGATGAGCTAGAGATAAAAAAGGTGAGTCATAAAACTTCAGACCCAGATGAGAATAGGGACAGAAATCTGGGCACTAGAACATTCAAAGGTCTGTCAGGGAAAGAGTACCCACTAAAGACACTGAGAAGGTGTAGCCATGCGGTAACGAGAAAACCAGGTGAGTGTGTGGTGTCACAAAAGCCTAAAGAAGAAAATGTTTAAGGAAGCGCGTGCTCAAGCCATTCAGTTGCTACCGAGATGCTGAGGAAGATAAGGAGAGAGGACCGACCATGATTTTACCAAGGTCCACTGATGACGCTGATAAGAACCATTTCAGTGGAGTGCAAGGGACAAACACTGATTGGAGTCCACTGAAGAGCTAATGAGAAGTGAGAAAGCAGAGACAATGAGCATAGGCAACTCTTGTAAGGAGTTCTACTGGAAAAAGGATTAGAAATACAGGGGGTAGCTGAGACAGACTCGGAAACAAGGAAGATATATATTTTTAATAGGTTAATAGAAAGATATGTCTGTATTACAGAAATAATCATTCCATCAGAGAAATTGATCAGAGAGAGTGCACCTATTTTCAGGAGAAAAGTTTTTGAGAAGGTGAAAATAAACAGTACTCTGAGCAAAACTGGAGGGGATGATCTCAAACAGGAGCAGGGCAGCTGGCCCACTGTAACAAGAACAAAGGCCCAAGACAAGGGTACTGGGGTAGCCACACTGATGGATGGCATGAAGGTGGCGTAGTGCTTATCTGACTGCAATGTTTCTTGCTGTGAAATATGAAGTAAGGTTATCAATTTAGAGTCAGGGCTGGAAAGGAAATGTTATTGGAGCTTTAAGGAGAAACAAGATAGTTGTCTCTAAAATAGTTGTCTCTGAGAATAAGAAAGTTAATTTGCTGGGTGTAAGTTAGCTACCATATAGGTCTGGAAAACGTTTTTTGTTATTCAAGGGTTTCCATTATAATTGGATTTTTAAAATAACATAAAATTTTTACATAGCTGGCATCTGAATTAAAGGCAGTCTTGTTGAGAACCTTGCCCTATAAGTTGTAGGGTCTGTGCTAACACTGGGTAGTTAGTGCCAGAATTGTACTGCAGGACGCTAGTTGGTGTCAGAATACCTGTCAAAGTACTATGAAAATTAACACCTGCTTTGAAAAGAATAATAATGGAGGAAGATCAGATGTGTGTCAAGATTACAGCTGGGCTACAAATATCTCAGGAGAGTCGTTCTCATGAGGTTAATGAGTAGTTTAAAAAAAGTTCAAGTGAGAATGATAAAAGCTATTGCTTTTCTTATTCCTTTAAGATTATCTAAGCAAGAAAAAATTATGGAGAATGAAACAAACCAATGGGAAAAAAATGACAATCAATAAAAATAATAGATTTCAGGTGCTCAGTGCAATCCGTACCTGTAAGTTGTTGGACTGACATTGATTTTCCGTGGCACGCTGCAGGACTCAAATTTGTTAGCCAAGGTGACATTGTTTCCAAAAAGGCAGTAACGGGGCATTTTAACTCCAACAACTCCAGCAAAAACTGACCCAGAATGCAGTCCAATTCTCATCTGAAAGCAAAAAGGAACACAATGTTCCCAGTCATTGGTAAAACACTTTCCCCTTGTCAGTGTTGTTTGAATGCCCTGTCTAAATTATTTTATCATTCGCTTCACTACACCACTCTTCCCTTCCTCAAAACCTCCAGCCAATTTCTCTCTACTCCTCAAATCCAATTAAGAATTACTAGTGCAGAATCAGACAGACCTCTTAACTCTTCTACATTTATGCAATTAGGTTTATTACACAAAGCATCTTTATTTCACCTGTCTTCAATATCTGAAATCAACTTCCATGCATACCTATCATAGTTACCATGGTGATAAGACAAAGCATCTATGGACTGTTTATTCGAACCTGTTCTGTCCGTCAAGTGAGAGAGAGAGAATTTCTGGACTCCACGAGTTGTTTCCCAAAGCACTGCCAGAGAGGGGCAAAAGAAGCTAGCTCAGGACACAAAGTGTGGGTTTTTAGGCATTTTGCTTTAAAATAACTTTATGCCAAACATTACTCCACTATACAAATGACTAACAAATGGAGAAAGGGAATTGTAACAGTTAAGCAGAAAAAGACAGAGGAAGCAGAAAGTTGGAGCTACTGAGGCCCAGATTACAATGACTGCATACACTTTAGTCAGAAATATCTGGACCCATGGGAAACCAGAGTTGTGCCATGTCTAGAAATAAGAGGCAGTCTAGGATATGTCTGGGTAAAAGTTTGGGAATTCTGAAAGTTATCAATGATTTGGAGAGCAATTAAGACAGAATATCTTAAACTGGGATCTTCTAGAAGATCTGAATACTTGATGATCTTAGAGGATACACAAATTCTTAAATTACTGCTAGAACAAAGCACGTTAAAGTGGGGATATTTTAAATGACAGTCATATACCATGTTCATTATTTTCACGTTCTATGTTCAGTTGACCATTTATAAAGAGTTTTATTAGATATATGCATTTTAAACAAAGCCCAAGGACTCAGTAACTTAGATGTAATTCAGAATTCAGAAGACTCCTGTTTTGCCTAGTTTTATAGCTAATTTCAGATATCTGCTAGAAACTTTCCAGAATCATTGGCTTTTGAGATATCAAACCATAAATTCTGCAAAATTTTCAAACAAAAGCACTATATCATGAATCAGGAGATTTACGTTCTAAACCAAACTCTGCTAATAATTGGTAGTCTGACTTTCTATAAGTCTCTTTGTTTCCCTCTTACTATTTCTTCATCTATAAAATGCAGAATTGGATTATTTTTAAAGTCCCTTCTTTGTCACAGTTTTACTCTAAGCAGCAAAACTTGCATGTCTATTACATCTGGCTTTTTCTTCCTTAGGAGAATAAGGTTTTATATGTATAACAACCGAATAATAAAAACAAACAAACAAAAACAATGAGAGAAGACTATCTTCTGCCTATACATACCAGCCACAATTTTAGCACATTTAAACTGAGAAGTTTTTGCTCCCTTTGGGGACTCTTCTGGTTAAACCAGTTTCTCTCTCTGTACTTAGTTATTCTAGCTTTTTCTATGATACATTTATCATAGCATTTTTATTTTTCTGTTTCAATACTAATAAATGAATACTTTCTCCTCGTAAATATCCAAACAATGACGATAAAGCAAATGCCCTTTTGGTTCCTACCATGCTGCTCTCTCTCCCTCCCCTTCTCTAGTTCTGAATGTCACTCTCAGCTCATCAGACAACTTTTCAAATTTACTAGCAAGAAAATCCAAAGTTTAAGATGCACATCATGCCCTGAATGGAAACCTGCTGGGGGAGTCTTCTATTTGGGGACCACTTTTGACGTAGCCCATTTCTCATCACAGGCTTCCGGGGATGGGAGAGCTGGGGCGCCAGACGTTTGTTTCCAAGTTCACTTTGCACTTACTGACTTTCACGGCCACCCTCAGCCCTCTGGTCTCTGTCATCAGTCCAGCTACAGTTTTCTAAGCCTGAGTGGGTGGATGTTGGTAAGGAAAGCGAATAGATGATTTGTACATATTACATGTTGTAGAAAAACATAGAGTTTGAAAAGAAACAAAGAAATCTTTGATATACTTTCACTTTGGCTTCATTCCATGGGGTAGCAGGGTAGGAAGCAGTATAAGCCCGGGCTGTGAAGCCGGACAGACATGACTCCACACCCGGATGCATGAGACTTGACTGCTCTTGTCCGTTGTGAGTTGTGGATTTCTCTTTATAATGTTGTTGTAAATATTAAATGAGACAATGTTTAGTCACAATATGCTCCCTCTGACACATATTAATGCTTCTCTCTCTACAAAAAATATCTTCACTTCCGCCTCTGTGACATTTCATGGGTAGCTCCCAAGGCCATCAGATTTCCCGGGGACCGTAGGTTAGCACAAACAAAAAGGTATGTTTGACATCTCACTTTACAGGTCATTAAAGCTAGACTATTATTAACCAGGTAATTATCTTTGAAACTAGTTATAAATAATCCTTCCAATTGCAAAACTCTAAAAATACATTTCTACAAATAACAAAAATCATGTCACTAATCCTCCTGTCTCAAACATACATACTTTAATTATAAATGCCTATGTGGAAATCACTGGTTTTATTGTTAATCTGGATATTTTAAACATTTACTTTGATGCTATGAGTTCCCTCTGAAAAAGAAAAAACATAGAAAGAGAAAGAAATATATAATTCTCCTCTTTAAAAAAGTGCAATTATAGAAACTAAGTTTGGAAAAGTCAGATGCTGTGATGTTTTTAAAACATAGTCGCAAATTATCTCACTCTTCCTATTATGACATAGGGTCTAAGTGTCCTCCCTTCTGGGTGGGCTTGTGATTGCTTTGACCAATAGAATACAATGGAAGTGTCACTGTGTGTCTCCTGAGGCTAGGTCATAAAAAGTCATGCAGCTTCCACCGATCTTGTTCACTAGGACATGAGCCACCATGTGAGAAGCGTGACTACTCTGAGGCTGTGGTGCAAGAGCACCATGTGTAAAAACTTGGGCTGACAGTCCCAGCTGAGCCCAGTCTTTCAGCCATCACCACCAAGGAACCAGGCGTGTAAGAGAAGAGCCATCTTGGAAGGGACCCTCCAGCTCCAAGTGGTGCAATCCCAACTATTCCAAATGCCTTCAACCATTTGAGTACTCCCAGCTGCGGTCCCACATACTGTGGAGTAAAGACAAGGTATCCCTGCTAAGCCTCATCAAAATTCCTGATGCGCAGGGGCCAACCCGGTGGCGTAGTGGCTAAGTTCTCAAACTCCACTGTGGCGGTCTGGTTCAAGCCATGCTATGGCAGGCGTCCCACATATAAAGTAGAGGATGATGGGCACGGATGTTAGCCCAGGGCCAATCTTCCTCAGCAAAAAGAGGAGGATTGGCAACAGACGTTAGCTCAGGGCTAATCTTCCTCACAAAAAAAACAAAAAACAAAAAACAAAACACACTACTGATGCACAGAATCCATGCATAATAACAGGTTGATGGTTTTGCACCACAAAATTTAAGGAAGTCTGCCACACAGCAACACATAACTGCAACAGTCAACTTAGAAAATACTTGTGAAGGCTTAGACATACGGCTTCTATTAAGATTGAAGAGAGCCACAGCTAAATTTCTAAATATTATAGTTTTGTTTTTTATATTTTCTTTCTTCCTTCTCTATATATTTTATAGCATACCAGATAGGATCCTACATTACTTCAAAGGCCCATTTCTGAAGGTTATCAATTGAGGACTTGTATAAAAATTAAGTGGGGCAAAGATAATCTGCTCATGCTCTATCTGCCTAGCATGTTAATTTTACTTTCTCATATGCAGACATTATTCTGGGATCTGGCTCATCTAAAACTTTTGGAATGTTATGTGACCTGGGAAATGTTGATGGCTTAGCAGTCAACATTCATTCTAGTGTAAAGTTCTCCCCTGCAGGGATTGGAAAATTAAAAATTACATTTTCCAAATTCCCTTACAGTTTCTAGATGGATTTATGTTTGGTGAATTATTTATTTATTTATTTTTATTTTTTATTTTTTTGTGGGGAAGATCAGCCCTGTGCCAATCCTCCTTTTTTTTTTTTTTTTTTTTTTGCTAAAGAAGACTGGCCCTGGGCTAACATCCGTGCCCATCTTCCTCTACTTTATATGGGACACCGCCACAGCATGGCCCGACAAGCAGTGCATCTGTGCATGCCCAGGATCTGAACCGGCGATCCCCGAGGCCGCCGCAGCGGAGCGCGTGCACTTAACTGCCTGCGCCATCGGGCCGGCCCCGGTTTGGTGAATTAGACACACTTGCAGGAGATTTGGAAGCCAGGGTTTCTGCTGTGACTGCCCTTCTGTTGCTTCCAAGCCTAAGCACAACTGTGGAAGCCTTGGGGTTTTTTATGGCACGCTTAGCGGAGAGCCCGGTTTCCGTCACTCATTTCGCGAGGGTCATGATGCAGGATTTCCATGTTGCTGATTCAAATTATAGTAGGTGCAGCTTTGCTCTGTAGCCAGTAGTAGAAGCAGCAGCTTGTTGAACACAGCAGTTTCCTGACTGTGGCTATAGTGGTATAGTTTAGGAGCCAGCTCCCTGATCCTGGAAAAAGCAGTGGTTCTCTCTCTCTGGGAGCCATTTTTTGAAAGCTCAACTTATAGATGGCTTCTTTAGTCCTACTAATGATTCTGTAAGCCATTTAACACCCTATTGTAAATTTCTTCCTGCTTACACAAGTTAGAGATTTTGCTCTCTGCAACTAAACCCTGATGAATACATCATTCTTTCAATAACTAATTAATAAGCATTTGCTCTCATGACATCTCCTGGACTACATGATCTGCCTTACCTTGATAGGCTCTCCATGGGGAGACACGACTTCATCAGAGAGCTCCATCATCTTCAGGGCCATGAGCGCTATCTGAACGGCATGGGTATCACTTTCTCTGTGCAATCCCCCTGCCACACAATATGCATCACCAATGGTCTCCACCTACACGTAACAGATTTTCCATATTACAAATAAAAACTCAGGAAGAATCATGGCATATATCATATAGCAAGAATCTAAGTGTTCCGGCCCTTACGGAAAATCAGAGTAAATCAGATACTCTCAGAAATGGCTTTCCCTTTCAGGAAATCACAAAGTGTAGACGCCTTAGATCCGGGCACTGCACTGAGAGGCAGCACGGTCCTGTGAACACAATGTCAGGAGGTGGCTTCCACTCCAGGCTTGCCACTGACTCACTATATCATTTCATTTCTGGTTTTTTTTCCACCATATAAAATGGCTTTGTAGAAGTAAATGATGTATTTTTGATTTATAATAAATTGCTTAAAGATGTTGGGATCACTCACTGATTTTATATCCTTTCAGTACAAAACACAGTGATTTGAATGAAGTCACTATTCAATCAATTTCATATGAATTTGGTAGGAATGTGCAATGTAAAACTAAGACATCGAAAGGTTTTCAAAAGGATTTTGGGGGTTCCCATAGCAACTAGAAGTGTCTACATGAGTGTTAACTAGAAAGTATAGAAATCAGATGTCAAACCAGGAGAGAGACACAATGGTGCTTGGAAGCCTATTGGAAATCAAGCTATTATATAAATTCCAAGCATTATTATTATCATTGTCATTATTGTTGTTGTTACAGGCGATTTTTATCTATCTGTGATACTGACTACAGAAAGCTAACAGCTAATTTAAATACAAAAGTAATTCACCAAACTGTAATAGTTGGGGCATTTTTCTTCCCTAATTATTTATTGTAATTTATCAGATCATATCTCTCTTCTTATCCAAAGCCTCCAAAATGGAGGGATGGAGGTGAGACAGGAAAAGAGAAAGGGAGATAAACCTTCAGTGATTCTCCATTTCATTCAGAATAAATGCCCTTCTAATGTTTCCAAAGTTCTTCTTGACCTTTCTGCTAATTCCTGGCTTGATTTCCTAATTCTCCCCCTTGCTCTCTTTATCTCAATGTCATTGGCCCCGTATTATCCCTCAAGCATACCAAACATGCCCCCACATGCTATTCATTTGCCTGGAATAATCTTCCTGCAGATAACCACTTGGCTTGCCCCTCATTTCCTTCAGTCCCTGCTAAAACTTCGCCTTATGAGACAGTGCTATCCTGACCACTCTCTGAAATAGCAATCACCCCTTACCCTCCGCACTTCTCTCCCTTAGCCTTAATCAGAATATTACACCAACTAGAATACCATAAATTTACTCATTTGTTTATTGTCCTTTTTTCCCCCAGCAGAACAGAATGTAAGTTCTCTGAGTTCATCTATTTTATTAACCCCTATATCATCAGTGCCCAGTATATTTGTTAATAAATGAACCAGGCAGCAACGCCTCCCATAAGCTTTTCCTCAGCAATGAATACATAAAAAGTGCTTCACATAATAGCTAACGTTATCACAGGTGCGCAATAAATGCTATGAATGAGGAGAAGTGGTACCCTCCCCCCTAATTTGTGTTAGGTGCCTATTCTCTGTGTCATTGTCGCACTGTGTACAGATGTGAGTGGAATCAGGCATTCAGCATGTCATATGGAAATCTGGCATTTTTCAGTGCGACCCTCCTCACCCCCACATGTAAACCCTTCTCACTGGAATTGTGCCCACCCATGCTGGCAAATGCTGGATGACCAGTAAATATTTGCTAAAACAGTGGATAAAGAAATACTGAAACAAACAGAAAAATGACCAAAAGACTGAAAGACAAAAAAGAAAATTAAATAGAGTCCTGGTACAATCAGGTCCTGGAATAAATAAACTTGACCATTTCTTGGAAGCCACTGCACTCATAGGTCAGCCTATGGTTATACATTCTGTATATCTTAAATTTATTCCATGGTTAAGACCCTTCCTTATTTATTTGTAACAGTTTCCCGGTATTTTCATGCAAAATCAGAAATGACGAGAAGGTGGAAATGAGCACTGGTGGAGAAGATGATTCACTACCTAGCTCGAGCTCTGGTTGGATTATTCAGGGAACTCTGTGGCTACCATCCTTGTAGGAAGGAGCGTAGAGTCTGACACTTGATAGGAATAACCAAATTCGTAAAAGTTTCAACTTGTAGAAGAGGGCAACTTCTTCTGCTAGTAATCACTGCAGTTTGCAAAGGAGGGCAAGACCTCTTTCTCACAATTCTGAGACAGGAGCCATTCTCAAGATAGAAACTATCTACACATAAATATAGTAAATTCCACAAGAGGCCATCAAGCTTAACCTAACTGAAGCCAATTATTTTATCTGTAATTATACATGGACCTCTTTTTTTCCCAAGGGAATCATAGCTCTGTCTGGAATTTCCTGTTAGAATTTTGAAAAAGGAAAGTTTTACTTCTAGCATCTAGACTGGAACAAAGAAGGGGCTTATGTATTCCCATAAATAATATTTGTTTCCTCCTCAATAATTTATTTATTTCAGATTGGGTTAAGCTCTGAAATGCCATTGTTGTTATGTGGCAAATTACAAGATGATTCAAGCCACACAAATGAGAAGCATGCTTTATTCGTAATGCCAATAGCTAAAATAATGCAAAAATACTTTAAACCAGTAAAAAATGTTTTAATTCTACAGAAACAAGCAGACAAAAATCTCTTCATTAGTTCTCTTACTGAAAATAGTTACACAAAAAAAGAATAGTTTATTACATGTCAGGGACAATCACTGTGCAGCCCTAGTGCCTAGAATGATGCCTGGTACATCATGGGTACTCAGCACATAAATCCTGCTGCCTGATGAATAACAGATATTATTTACAATAATCTTTATCACAGTCTTGTTTATGAAAATTATGGGACATAATGTATGTTATTCACGCATAGAAACTGTGGGTAGATATTATTTTCTCTGTTTCAGAAATGAGAACGTTTATTTAACTTTCTCAGCTTACAAAGCAAGTAAAGTAGAGAACAAGCTTTGAAGAAGGGCCTGTCTCATCCAGATGTGTCTGGCCTTGTCCTCTCTCCAATAATATCTTAAGTAGGTGATTTAGATTTCTGTTAACCAGCCATGAAAAGTATCATGTTAACTCTGTATTGAATTAATCTATTTAAAGACAATTTGTATAATACACGTTTCTTTATTTTTACCGATACAAAGGATGAATTTTCCCTGTACAACTCACACTTTAATTATCTCGTGCTTAATAACAACTCAGTTTCCAAGTCAAGTGTCAAGTTCGTTGACTTTTAAACTTTACCTTTTCATGGGTCCTATACCCCTTCCTCCACTCAGTCTATCACCCCTCCATTCTGTGCTTATTCTTTGAGAAGACAATGTGGCAGTCCTTTCACGGAATAATTATCTCTATTTCTGAGCAGATTCAGAGCTATTTCTGCCTGGAGAACACCCACAGAATTAATGCACAATGCCTGCTCCCAGGATGTGGCTTGCACGGCCCTGCAAAGAAAGCCTTCCATTGACATTATAACTCAGATTCTAGGTGCAGTGCTTTTTCTCAGCGACTTTTGCCTGTAAAATGGGCATTGCCCTGCTCCCCCCCTACCTTGTAGACATCCAGCTCTCCGCACTGCCGGTCAAAGCGAGTGTAGAGCGCATTGAGCATGGTGATGACCTGCAACGGCGAGCACTGGGAGCAGATGGCAGTGAACCCAACAATGTCCGAGAAAAGCATGGTGACATTACTGAACTTCTTGGCTTGTACAACTTGCCCTTGCCACAGCTGTTGCGCAACCTCGCTTGGAAATATAGAGCACAGAAGATCGACTGTCTTCTTCTTCTCTTCTTCCAGGGCTTGGTGGGCTTGCTCAAGGGTGGCCTTCAGCTTGCCCAGCCTCTTTTTCAGGCCATCTTGAGCTCTGGCCTGTTCGCCTATCAAGACCACATCCCTCAGTGCATTGTGAATTGGGATGTCGGAGAGGTAGAGTCCTCGTCCCGTAAAATCTTCTAATCTGTCCACACAGGGTGACCCCAAGAACAAGATGGCACTGGATTCAACAATGTAGATCATTTGGCCTTTGAGATCCATAACCTGTGAGGCAAAGGAAAACCAATTTTGGTTTATTCAAGTTTTCAACACATTTTTGAGACGAAAGGAGAGGAAGTAGATATGGTGATAATCTCTTTGTATTCAAACTCTATTTTTTCTACCTGCTGGAAAAGAACAATATGCTTTCTTAGAGTTTCAATTTCCTATGAGTTCTAAAATGCATGCAGACTTTTGAAAAATATATTTGAGCACACACTACACAGAAACCACGCTTTTCAATGAACAATGCAAAAAATTCTTGCTTCAAGCCTTTCTCACTAAGTGGCATCCTGATGCTTTTGTTACTATAATTTTTGGATAGTAGCAGCCAGCAGAAAGGATTGTACCATGGAAGACTAGAGAGAGGTGGGGCTTCAAGCGATCATTGTGGATCACAAGATCTCCTTCTCTGAGTGTGGACAAATATGTACATGTGTGTTCACTGCAGCAAAAGAGTCAAAAGTAATCCAAATATCCTTCAGTGGGGGACTGGTTGAATAAAGTAAAGAATAATCATATAATGGGATACCAAACAGCCTTTGAAAAAGCAAAATAGACCTATATCTAATGACATGGCAGGATGCTCAAAATACATTGTTTAGTGATAAAAAAGAAGTTGTAAATAGCATTTTATTTTGTTTTAAACAAAAATGTATATAACTAATGTTTTTAATTTTTTGCTGCAATGAACATCTTAAAGTATTACCTATTTTTAAAATATTTAGCTATATTATTTTTATTATAAAAAGTAATAAAGCTGTTTCCATCTGGGGGAACAAATTGTGTGTCTGCTGGGGTTAGGCATATCTAAAAGTAAGTCTCTCTATTAGCTTTGTTTGTACTATCAGCTATGATTTAGCAAACTTTCCTTCCTAAGACTAAACAATGAACCAGTATTCTACCATGAGATGACATAACATTTTCTCCCCACATTCTCTAACAATTAATCAAACAAGTTATTGATTTTTCCATGTCTATTAAATATTGATTAAAAAATCCATTTAGTTGCCTCCTATAAGAATCAAATACTTTTTGTTTATTTATTGTAGAACAATACCCTATATTATTCCAAATTAAGTCAGCTATTTGATGATGATTGAAAACAAAGTTTTTAATAAATATTTATCTAATTCAGTTATAAAATACTCCATAAGGATTTTAAAAGGTAGACTGCATTCAATAAATATTTGTGAAGTAATGGGTCAAGGAAGCAAGCAAATGAATGCAGAAAGGATTTTGTTTTAAATTTATTCCAGCCTTAAAAGTATTTTCAAATTGTTTTAAACACAGATATTTTATCAACACATTTGAACACATTCTACTGTTGTTGTTTCTAGTCCTTAAATACGAAATAACTTATTTCCTATTCAAAATACGATTATGTTTTTCCTACCTTTGAAGATTTCTTCACAGAGTTATCCCATCTCCTCACTCGAACAACAAACTGCATATTCAACATAGTCATGATTCCACTAAACGTTTGGTTGATTTTTGGAGTCAGAATTTCAAAGTACTCTTCAAAACTCGGCTTTCCTTGAAAGTCTCTCCTGTTCATCTGCCTCCTAATGCCATTGCCAAATTGCAGAATTGTCATATCTTTGTCAAACATGAAATGGAACGGAAATGTCTTACAGAAGAGAGAAGCAGGAATCACCAGCGAGGACTGGGGTTTTCCCGGGGACAGGGATGGTTTGGTGCTTTTGACATGAACAGAGTATAACAAATAAGGCTGATTGACAAACTCGCTGCAATCATTTCGGAAGCAGGGAGGCATTACCAACACTTCCACTTCGGTTTCGTACAATATCTGAGCAGCTGCCTTAATGATGCCAGGAAGAATCAGGGACGTGATTCTCTTAGGGAAGAAATAGTAAACACTTAAGAAGTCGTGATCTTTATCCAGGCATAGAATGGAGGCATCCTCAAGCCTGCCTCTCTTTTCTGCTTCTTGGCAGTGGCTACTCTGTTTCAGAAGGGTACTGAAGCTATTTAAAAAATCTTTGAGGGTTCCTCCAACCACACCCAGGATGTATTCATCTTCCTCATAACATATTTTAAAAAGCTCTTCACCGAGAGATTCTTTGATGATCTCCACTGGAACTCCTGAAAGCACATAATACATTTTCTGCCATATCAAATACGTCATCACAGGTAGAGCTGTGATGCTACTACTAATTTTTTGTGTGTGTGTGTGTGAGAAAGATTGGCCCTGAGCTAACATCTGTTGCCAATCTTCCTCTTTGTTCTTGAGGAAGATTGTCCCTGAGCTAACATGTGTGCCAATCTTCCTCTATTTTGTATGTGGGACGCCGCCACAGCTTGGCTTGATGAGCGGTATGTATGTTCGTGCCCTAGATCTGAACCCGTGAACCCCGGGCCACCGAAGCAGAGCCTGCAAACTTAACCACTACACCACAGGCCGGCCCTGTTACTACTACTTTTAACATTATTTTATTTGATGATTTAGTTCCCTTTATATCTGGTAATAGGAGTTCCAACCAAAATAAACCACCTATATTCAAATTACCTACACAGATTAGTTTCTAAAATTCTTGTAACTCTGAATAAAGATCCCAAATCAGTTAATTAAAAAAGAATGATCAACTGAGTATAATATACAACTTTTTATTTGCCTTAAACTTAACCATAAAGAAAAATTGGAATTACAGGATCAAGCCCATTTCATAAAAAGCTCTCCCACCTTGTTAACAACAAAAACAGTACATCTTGATGAAGGGGCACTGTCCCCTTTGGGGAGCCTCCAGGAGTAGAAGCATCCAATACAGGAATTAATTGGAAATCACTGGTCATGAAACTCACTTTGTCATTTTTCTTTAAAGATGATATAAAGTAATTCTTTTTTTTTCCTGAGTAAAATTGCATTCTTGTTGTTTAATGTTACCTGAGTGAATATGTGTTTGGAATATATTGGAAATATATCTACAACGTCTTCCCTAACCTTTATTCTTTAAATTCGGTGTACCACATTTTTCTCATCTGTAACTTAGGAAAAACAACAGTGCCCTCTTCATGGCATTGTTGTGATGTGTGGGGATTATGTTTAGAATAGTGCCTGGCTCCTAGGAAGGGCTCAATATAAGTTATCCATCATCATTATTATTACTACTAAATTATTAATATCTTGTACTTTTGGACTTGTTGGTCCACGTACTCAAACTTTGAAAAAAACAGTATGACAAAGTTACTCATCTACTCGTTTCCCCCAAACTAATTATTAATATGAGAACACTGTTAACCTTTTTTCTCATGATTGTTTACAACCTTTAAAAAAATTCTTTATTTTACTTTGTTGAGTAGAATTTTTCACGCATAAACTAGGAACACTTAGGTCTAAGCTCAAGGCCAAAGCATGAAAATGTCTATGAGTCAGGCTCCCATGCAGCTTCACCTACTTCTCAGCAAAGAAACATTAGAAGAAGAGGAAATGTTTTAGGTCAAACAAAAATGTATAGTACAAAACAGAGCTATTCTTTATGTTAACATGATACATGGTTTGAACACTTCACACTGGAAGAAACCAACAAATAAATATGAATACTTTTGAAGAAAATATTAGTTCTACAGGTAAATATTTTCTACTAATAGAAAATATTAATTTACAGGTAAAATATTAGTTCTACAAGTATAATTATTTCCTAATTGCATACTGAAACAATTCTATTACCTGCTGCAATTGCTTGGTCTGCAATTATGTTTTCAAAGTCTTCTCTTTCCAAAGATTTCCTGAAATTATTTCAATAACTTAAATTATAAACTGACAAATGAATGCTAAAACTTCAGATTAGAACATACAGAAGAAGTGAAGACAAAATAATTTAAATTACCTTTTCCGTAGAGGCAAATCTTGACTATCAAGTTTACAGGAAAGGAGCAATGACATATAAAACCCAAAACAATGTTGGAAAATCCCCAAATATACCTGATATAGAGTGTTTCATCATTTTTTACGAAGTATTTTTATCTTTTAAGTTAACTTTACATAGCCTAAGACTATAGAGGTTTGCACTGGTAAGGAACCAGGAGTATGAAATGGCCCAGAAGGGGTGGTAATAAATTAGCCCACGATTTTTCCATAATTCAACCAAGAAGAAAAATCAACATACTGATGGATTTCACTTTTAAGTATCACTATTTTTTTTCCTAAAGCAAATATATAGTATATTCTGCTTTCGAGTTTTACATTCTATATATTTAACTCTCAGAGACATCATTACATTAAACTTTTATCCTTGATCCTGTATAAAAATTAGTAAGTAAAGAAATGTATTTTTTATTCAATTACTGCACTGGTTTCTATAGCATGGAAGTTGATAATATAACAGCACACATTTTGATTGATAGAAGGTTTTGGTAATTTCTACAGGACGACTTGTTGATTTATGTTTGCCTAATTGTTTTTTATGATTTCTGATAGGGATGACTGATTATGACCAAATTTGCCAAACTACTAAGCATATTAAAAAGACATCCAAGTTCTATTTGTGGTTTGGTTTGCCCTTACATAAGCCAAGTTTTCAAACAGGCATAAATCTAAAATTTTAAACCAAGTGCAACAAAACATGATACATGTACAAAAGTATTCTTGAGAAGGAAAATTGCTAAGGCCACTATTTGATCACATAAAGGTATTTTGCTTATAATTACTTAAAATACTAGGTAGAAATATTTTCTTATCTAAATTGGTTGAGGATCACTATATGATATTACATCTAGCTTTAATCTAGAGATCCCCAAACCTCTTGTTATATATTATATTATATTAATCAGTCTTTAGATTTGCTTCTTTTTGTCAACTAAGCAATTTCTATTTTCTTTTTCTAAAGGATGAGAGCAAATCTGCTCAGAGAACTCTTAATTCTGCCAATTCCCAGCACCCATGAAATGAGACCTGAGCAAAGCTTTGCTAGTCCGAACAGCACATAGTGCAATTCAAAATAAGTTTCCTATCTTTACCTTCAAAAGAAAAAAAGGAAGTGTAAGCTTATAAGTGCACCAGGAAATGTGTGTGTGTCTTACATAACACACATACACACACACTCCAGTCATGAGTTCATACATATGATGATGTGATCAAAAGGTCCTAGAAAAAGAAAGAAAGCAGAACCTCTCTGTGCAACAACCCAGAGAGATATCATAATGACTGTGCTAAAACTCATTCACCTGAAAAAAGGAGGGGAGAGAGCGGGACTCCAGTCCTTCAGTTAGGGCCAGTTTATTGTTGACTTTTTTTTTTTTTTGGTGAGGAAGATTTGCTCTGAGCTAATATCTGTGCCAATCTTCCTCTATTTTGTATGCGGGATGCCACCACAGCATGGCTGATGAGTGGAGTAGGTCTGCACCTGGGATCTGAACCCGCAAATCTGTGCCGCCAAAGCTAAGCATGCAGAACTTTAACCACTCAGCCACAGGGCCCGGCCCAAGTTTATTGTTTAATATATTGATTTTTTTCTTTTCACGTCACATAAGATAATAAGCAGTCCACAAAAAGGAGTTAAGGCGTGTCCAGCAGTTGGCAAACTGAGAGCAGCAGAAATGGCAGTCGACCTGCCTAAAAGAAGATGGGGGAAAAAACCAGAAACAGAGAATACACCTAAGAACTAAAAAACCAAAGTGGAGAGAAGCTATTTAGCACATCAGCAGGCAGTCTTATGAGAAAAAAGGTCCCTCATCTTTCAACAACTGAATAATTATCACTAGGACAATTTAAAAGTATGATCAGAACCTTAAGAAATCAGCGAAGCGGTCAAGGATTTTTCAAGATTTCCAAACAAAGTGATTTTTTTTTTAAGTTTTGAGATTTTTTTAAAGAGATACACTGCTGGGAACACAACCTAACTGAAAGTCTGCATCTAGCTTAGGAACGTTTCAGAACACAAGGCCCTGAGAATACATTTTCAGTAAACTGGCTGCCAAAGACTTAAGCAGACAGACACAGTAGCACAGCTACAATGGCTGTGGCTATCTTATCAGCTTGACTGAGAATTAAGGTCAGAGGCGTTCTGGAATGCTTTTCCTATCACTCATGTAAACAAAGCTTTCCTCAGACACATAGATTCACACTGTCTCCTTCTGGACCTGTCTGTGACCCTTCTTGGCTTGCCTGCTGCCTGCAGTCTGGGGCCAGTTAGTCAGCAAGGAAAATTAAGCGCAGATAATCCACAGAACAGATTATCCACTCGTGAGTAGTAGGCAGATGAGTGAGTTTATAAAATATTCCTGACAGTGGTACTGGTTTGCAAAACTTCAATGTTCAATTCTGCAAATTTGAACTCAAGCATTTATTCTATTACTTAGAACTGAAATAATCCTTGAGATATCAGGGAACTAAAGACAAGGCCAATCAAGTGATCTACAGCAGTAAATGTGCCAAGATATATTTGAAAAAGTAACCACATAAATCAGATTTTTAAAAAAATCACCTTATATATTAAGCCTCTATGGAAAGCTTTCTTAAAGAAAATTTCAAAGACAGAATACAAGAAAAGAGTAAAAACAGAACTGATATTCAGCCAGCGCACACTCATATAACCAAACCAGTTAGGAAAATACAGAAACACTTTCCGAAGGATTAATAAAAAGTTGCAACGCCAAGCCCCCTGGGTCACCACCCTCTTCTTACCCTCTTGATCCTTCCACCTCCTCCTGAGGCAGCAGCTAAAAGCTTCATCTGTGCGGGGAGGTGGGGACAGGAGCACTGAGACCGTGCTTGGGCCTTTTGGCAGTAGTCTTCAGGCAAGGAGTCTATTCTGATTGTTTGGGATCCATGCCCTACCTGTTAAATATTTTCGAAATCACCCCTTAGTAGAAAGAATAGGCCTTATGGGAGCTTGTTAATAGCTGCAGTATTTGGCAACATGGTTAAAATCATAGGCTCTGAAAAACCCAGGCTTGAAATTCAGTTCTGCCTTTTCCTAAACAGCTGTGAAATCCTAAACATTTTATATAAACCTGAGCCTACTGACACATAAAATGTGAAAAATAAATGCACTTACTTTCAGATTTGTGGCAGCTAAAACACTTAGTCCAGCTTCTGGCATGCCATAATAACTCAAAAAATGTTGATACATTCAATAAATGTTGGTTATTAGTAACAGTACCAGTGATTGTAATAAGAGGTTCACACAGCTAAAGAGGTTCAATTTACCTGCTTTCTTTTATTTTGTGTTTTGCCAACGTTCTCTGAAGTGCAAAGTTCAGCAAATCAAACTGAAAATTGAAAACAAATGTTTTAGACATTCCCTTAAATAATAGTTTACTTGAAGATATATATTTTAAAAATTTGTTCTGAAAGTTTCTTATGACGAAGCAGAAACATCATTACTTTAATGACAAGTGTAGTGAATTTACACTTCGGAAACGGGGACTGATTTTCTGTGGGTTTTTCAAGCTTGGGAAGAAACAATGAGCTCAGACTAATTTGAGTTTGGATGTGGGTTGTGGCCCACTGGCTTTGCTTGGGGGGTGGTCTCACTAATAGCCACAAAACAAGGTGGAGCTGAGTTGGAATCCCAATAGAAGACTCCAGTTTGATAATGTCAGGCCTTCATGAAGGAATCGTGGGCATCACTTCCTCGGGTCAGGAAATCCCCTTGGATGAGCTGCCAATACTTTAATCTCAGCACAGCTTAAGCCAAGCAAATTTCTGTTCCTTTCACAAACTCTACACCCAGCCAACCCAGGGAATCTCTGCCCTTAACTACAAATGCATATTTATGTTTCATATATCATTTATGACTCCCGGTCTAGAAAACTCTGGAGCTATCTCTGTCTTAACTCTTCCTTTTATCCCTTAAATCCAAGCTTTCACCAAGGTCAGTGGATTGTTGATTTGAAACAAATCTTGGATTTACCCTATCTTGTACTAATTTTCTTTCTTTGAACTAATAATCTTCACTAAATACTTATTGCTTTACTCTCTTTTATTGATTTCTGAGTATTTCATGAGCTTTCCTGTATTGCAAGATATTTGTATGTAAGCCTCTATACTTCATAAATACTTGTTGACTATCTCTTAATCTCTCTTAGCAGCTCATTGTCTCTAACTAGTTGATAAGTGGGAAATAGAGCATTGGAAAGCAGTGTTGCCAATTTTTTTGCATTCCATATAAAAATCATATGTATCTATCTGTGTCTATGTAACCGTTGATTCTTTCTGTAGTTTGCCCAGAGGAAAGTGAAGAATTTTCTGGCTATGTTCCAAATCGGGAAATTCCTTTTTCCTTAAGAACTATTTATATCTATCTTAGAGTTTCCACTGGTCAAGTGAGGTAGTCGAGTTAAGCAAAATAGAGCAAGTTTCTGTTTTAATGAAATGAGTTATGAAAAGGACTTTCAGTTTTAAAGTGCATATAGAGCTTAGAAAAGAAATTTAAAATTTATTGAAAGAGAACACAAATGCTGAAAAGAAATAAAAGAAAATTTAATACGCAATGTACACAATATTTCTGACTGTTCAAATAAGGAGAGGGAGGATACATTTGTTTCAGGATGAAAGAAAGATTGGCAAGTGACTTATCACTGGATAAGTCAGATTCCAAGCAACGTCCTGGTGACATCTATGATGGCAAAGGGCAGGAAGCCTGGCAAGTGAGGAACATGTTCAGGTAGGAAAATATGGGCATGTTTCTTAGCAGTCTTTTATATCAAGGAAAGAGAAAGGTAACATTACATTGGAGACTGTAAACGAGGGAGATAGCCAAGGTGCTTGAAAAGCTTCAATTTCTCAAGGATCTTTCATTTGGTAGACAGTTCCTCTGACATGACTAACACCAGAATATTAGTGTGGATTAAAACCCATGAAACCACAGGTTGCTGTAAGTTCTTTCTTCCTGTAAAACATATTCATATGGGAAAAGGGGTCATCAATAAAATGAGGGTCCCTGACTCTGTGCATGAGCTCCAGTTTTCCTTCATGCATTTGCTACTTGAGTTTTTTTTCTTATTATCTGTCTCCTCCACTAGAACAGAAGCTCCAAAGGGACAGGAAATACCTGTTTTGTTCATCACTGTATGTCCAGCACCTAGAAGAGGACCTGGCTATAGGAGATGCTCAAAACATATTGATGGAATAAATGAATGAAGGAACAACACTCCCCCTGTCAGCTATTCAAAGTCTTGAAGGCTTACTATATAAAATTTTATCAGTGAAGCGATATATAGCCAAGTACAGAGGTGTTACTCTTTTAGCTTGCTTACAAATAAATTTTGATTGTTTCCAATTTAAAATAATTTGAATTATATTTGTTTATATATGAATTGCTGCTCTGACCAGGAACTTTTGATGGGCAATGAGGAAAGAAAATCCATCCTATTCTGCCACTGAAGAATTTTTCCTTCCTTCTCCCAAACACTAGTGGAGACATCATTTTCTTCCTCTTTACCTTTCTGATTAAACCACCAGATACACTCTTTTACTCTTTTCAGTCAAGATTCTTCTTGGTCTTTCATGTCCTTTCCACTGTCACCAGGAAATTCTTTTTTCTAGTCCTTTCTTCCTAACACATATGCTGTCATCATAAGAGGGGAAGAGAAATGGTCCTTCTTCCCATTGTTGGGGTTGGTAGAGTAGATGTATTCCTGACTTTCCATTTTGAGTCAGAACTTGTTTTTCTAAACAAAAAAGTGCTGCAGTCCTAGCAAAGCTATAGTGGCATACTTTAGTGATGTTATGGGTTAACAGACTTCTGTGAGTACCTACTTTCATCATATACCATTGCTCCTCTGGAAAAATTACTATAAGTTCAAAAGAAACTCCACAAGCTTTCCAGGAAAGACATTTACTAGTAAAGACTGCTGGTGCATAGAGTTTCCTACCTTGTCGCTGTAGTTCCTATAATATGTCCTGAGCCTAGACCCTGGGATGACACAAGTCCACAATAAAGCCATAGGTAGGACCCAACTTTAAGTGAGACTTGTCATACACAGTCAACCTCAAGGCCTCATGACATAAGATCAACCACTGCAGGACTGCTCTAGGGGGGTCAGATACTCCATATCCCAACAAGTCTACATATTGATTTTTAGTTTAGTATGGTACTGTAGGACTAAAGCCAATATTTCCTTCAAAATTAATTCCCTACATTTCAATATACATAAATATTGTGTAGCAGCCTTCTATAGATTTTTAGTTGCTCAGCATTCAAACTTTCTTTTATTTGGGAAAGCCTCCATTATGAGTTTTGGAGGAAGGGGCTCTGCTGACATCCACAATCCTTGGACACCGTGGAATTTCTGATTCACAGAGGGGGCACCAGTCCACAGAAGTAAACAAAGTGTTACTCTCAAGTTTGCTTCTCTTTACTTAACAATTATCTCTTGACTTGATAAAGGATAGATATATACTCATTGTTAAAACAAGTACTTTTCTTGCAAGCACACCGTATAGTAATACATTAGGAATAACTGCTATTTGATGCAATATTGCTGTAAGCATTCTGAATAGAATTTCACTGGTATGGTTTATGGATAAGTTGCTATTTCAGTTATTTTTAACTTTTCTACAATTTCTAATGTTTTTATAGACCAGGGATATTTCAATTCATAAGGATAAATTATAATACAGTTTCTTTTTTTCTTCTTGCAACCAAAATATCTTGGAAGACATTCAGAGACTTCATGATTCTCCTCAGATCCTCTTAGCCTCATGAGGTCTTCAACTTGGGGTACTATCATTTATACGAGGATATCTGATTCAATAGATTCAATGCAGTAACTGGGTTTTGGTGTGCTACAACTGGCTTCCTGTGATAAGGCAAATGGCCTCAGTTGTCGGGGAGGAGTTCTAGTCATTAATGCCAAATGTACCCCCCTTCCGCCCCTTAGAATTCTTATAGCCTTGCCTTCTCTGCTACATGACACTCTCGTCAAATACTGATGATTATTACTATGAGTTCATGAACAACACAGATTAGTCTAAATAAAGAGAGAGAAAAACTAAAATATCATCTATATTTGGTATTCAGAATGTTTTTAAAAGAGATTCCAACATGTGTGTGACTTCTATTGTAGGAATTCAAAATTTATAAAACAAAATAACGAAGCCAACATGGTAATGACAAGACTCAGGGAAAGCATGGAAGCTCTCTAGCTTCTCCATCATCACCATCTGTTCATCTCTGGGCATCTCACTCTGTCCTTGGAAATGAGAGTACCAACCACATCCCAGACTGATGTCAACCAACTCCCTGAGAAGGGCTACATCCCTTATCCCAGCCAAACTGGCTGTCTAGAGACGAGAGTAGGGTGAGAATAATTAAGTATTTCCATTTCAAAGGCCATTAACCAAAGCATTATTGTGCTAATATTAACCAAAGCATTATTGTGCTAATATTATATTTGAAATATGCTCCTTCAATATTCTGCTGATTTTACTTTATCCATCCTTCAAGCTTCAATTCAAGTTTCGTCTTTCTCAATCACTGTAGCCCATATTGTTGATAGCAGTAATTGCTCTGCTCTTCAAAAGCCATGTGGCTTTGGTCAAGTCACTTAACTTCTCTAGTCCTTCTTGGGATTAAACAAGATTACCTCTGAAGTTCCATTCAGTTTAAAAAGTCAGCAAGTCTGTGGTTCTTCAGTGCTTTGCAAAAAGCTGAGAGTTGATGTTGAGTCAATTAAAAATTATCAGTGGATCATGATAGCTGGAGTCTGATTATATCAACGTCCAATTTCATAGGTTAAGACAGTGTCTACAAAACTGTGAACACTGACCGAGAGAGGAAGACTTCACGAAGACTTTTAGCTGCTATTCTCTTTAGCCTTGCAGAAGGAGAGGAGCTCTCTACATGCCCCCTCTACTCATAAGATATTTGACCTAATTAGGTACATGCCCTGTCCCCAGAGTTCTCTTACAGGTGGATTAGCAAAAAGTGCTCCAGATCTCAAAATGGCATTAGGCTACGCAGCTCTCAGAGCTATATCAAGAAGTCTGAGCTAATAACACATAGATATTAGCAATCACAGGCCCATGACTGACCCAGAGGAGCAGGTCAGGCCTGGCTTGAGCAGAGACTTCAGACTCAAAGCCAACACCAAAAGGGAGATTTTCCCACCTCAACAAACTGGCAGAGAATATATGATGCTCTTTGGAATTAGAAGAAGAAAGCACAGCAGAAAATAAACTATTCTTCAAGGAATTTAACTTTAAAATAATAGCTAACAACTACTGGGCACTTAGGGGATGGCAAGAGCTATATAGAACTACTACACTTACTGCTCATTAAAACTCTAGGGGGTAGGTACTGTTATTGTTCCAATTTTATGGATAAGGAAGCTGAGACTAAGAGGGTTAAGCAGTTGCTCTAAGTCATAAGGCTTGTCAGAGTGCAGGACCCTTTTGAAAAGAATTCAAGATCTTAAACATTTTAAGATAAACACAATTTAAAAAAATCATTGCCTTAAAGGAATGTTTTTATAAATTTCCAGAAAATATTCTACATCTATTTTAGCCACGAAAGTAAGAACGCAAAAGTTTACATTTTCCTTAGAAAACATTATTTTACAATTTTCAAAGTTTCAGTAAAATCTTGAAAGGGGAAGTACTCACCTCTGGAAAAATCAGTTTGCAAATGCTCTCTGCCAAAGTGTGAAGATAGACTCGGCTCCTGCTGGTCTTTCTTTGAGGAAGACTTCCTTGTACATTCTTCTCAGGAACGTCCTGACAGATGGGGGGAGCGGCTTTGCAGCTCTCTGAGCTTCCTGCTACCTCTTCTGCTGGCTCTTTAGGAACCTGCCCTGGTGCCAGTAAGGAGAAAGGGCACTCCCCTGTGATCTTGAGATCCTTCAGCTTCGTGCAGAACATGGTGTCCACGGCCTCCCACCTTGCTGCAATCTCCTCCTGCTCTTCTTACATGGGACACGCAAACAGAAGCCACTATCAGATCAAGGACACTGGTGACTGAGGTGACTAAGGGCAGCAGAAAGTCAGAACAGAAAGAAGAATGACTTTGTACACTTATGAAAACAAAGACAGGTGTGAGAAAGCAAAGACCATGCAGTCGTATTGCGTTTTCAAGTAAAAAAAAAATTCTGGTGGAAATGTCAATTATAAAGTGCGGAGAACATTTGGTAAAGATCTTTATTTAACATGTGTGCATTTTAGTATACCAGTAAAATACTTGCTTATAATACTTTAATATTTTTCAAATGGAATATAATTTTCCCCAAAATGTCCTTTGTACAAACTACTGATTTCCATTTTTATAACCCATTTAGTCTAGTTTGACTCCACATTGTTTCATGAGTGGAACACCATGGTTTTATGAAAGAAGCTAAGGCTCAATCTGAGTTTTATTAGTGTTAGTACTACTATATTCTAATTATGCTGAAAATTTCCAAAATTTCCGAAAAATCAGAATAGCATAAACCAATTGTCTCCCAAACATACCCAAAGAAACAAATATAGATATAACAATGCCCAAGTATATGTTTTCAGATCTGAAATACTGACTTTTAGATGAAAAAACATTTAATTGAAATGATTACTGCAAAAGAAGATACTTGTCTCTATAAATAGTAAAACAATTTTAAAATAGCGTCAAAATGAAAAACAAAAAACATTTTTTTCAAAGAACTCCTGATCCCTAAGAACATGCATTGGATCTGCAGAGGGTCTCCGGATCTGAATTCAGACAACACTGGAGTAAATCAAGAAGGTCTCTCTTCCCAGAGGCCCACTGAAATTGTACACAAGGCCATTCCAACAAATTTTGTCTTGTACTTTTGTTTTGTCGATGTCACAACCCATTTATCATTAGTTATTTGTCACCGGAACTGTTTGGTTGTGAGTTCAGCTTATCAACAATGTTAACGATTTTGATTAACTGGGTCCAAAACAAGTATTTCCATTCTTGGAAAATCAAAAAACACAAAAAAGAGTGCAAGAGAAGCCCCATTTACTTATCCCTACTATGTGCCTGGCACAGCACTGGGCACTCTATATTTACATTTAAGCCTCACAGGAATTGTTTAGTCCTCGTGGCAACCACATGACACAGGTATTAGTATCCCCAATGTGCCAGAGCTCAAAAGTTTAGGTCATTTTCTTTCATTTGAAATGCTGGAAAATGACAGAACTAAGGTTCAAATGTAGGTCCACAGGACTCCAGAACCAATGCGTTTTCTATTAACCCAAACGCATATCACCAAGTTAGACTAGTTTCTAAAGAATCAGGCTTAAAGATATGGTTTCCAGTTTATGTTAAAAAGCAAACAAGAACATAATTCTCCTGCTCATTGGCTGGTGGTATTTGAATCATCCATGATAAAGCCTTATATTGCAGTCTTTAAAACTGGAGTTCAACTATTTTTTTCTTTTCTATGAGCCTCAAAACTCTTAATATGTTGTTAATATGTATAAGCAGGAGTTGGTAATTTGTCACCAATAAGTTAAGTTCAGAACAATGGACAATTAATTTTCTTAACTGGAACAAATAAGGAAGCTAAATCAACAGCTGACAGCCCTTGGGGTTTCGTGGGATGTTAGGTATGGGGGAAGATTACGGACGCTGACAGGCCAGAAGCAGAACCCGTTGCTACTCTCTATTATTTAAAGTCAGACGCAAAACCTGTGATCACAGGTTATTTATGAATCTTCAAGAAGGTGCAAGGAAGATCCTATATATTCATGAGCAGAAAACATTCTGCCAGAATAGAATAGGAAGCTGTCCGGCTCAGCAGGCTACTGATAGGCAGTATGGTTACTTGGATACTGAAAGACCTAAACATCTAAGGCTCTCAACCACATTTCTTTTAAGACTCAGTTCCACAGACATCTGTTTCTCAGTCTTCAGTACATCTCAACGTAACTCTATCACTATTTTTCTAACTCTTGTCCTCACATATGGTTTAGATCAGTGGTCATCAAACTTCTCTGTAAAGGAACAGAAAGTAGAATTCTTCAGCCTTGCAGGTCTCTATCAATGACTCAGCTCTGCCATAGCAGCATGAAAGCAGCCACGGCTGATACACGAAAGAATGGACATGGATGTGTCCCAATAAAACTTTATCTGCAAAAATAGGCAAAGGATTTGGCGCACAGGCTGTAGTTTGCCGACCCCTGGTTGTAAAAGGCTGAGCAACTTAACCGAAGCATTTTAATCCAAATATAATTTTGACTATAGGGATAGACTTACTTCCTCATTTCCTCTACCCATCCCACCCCCAAAATATAGCAGCCCCTGTGGATCCAGTTTTGAACAACTTGGAAGTAATAAAAGAGAGTGTAGTAGATAATATTGAATAACTATTCATTTATAAAAATTATAATGCCATTATTTTATACTAATTTTCAGGATGAAGAGGTGTATTAACTGAATGTCATGATTTCAATTATATCAAAATATAACTACAATAATTAGAAGAAGAAGAAATTAGAAGAAGAAAAACTAGAATTTTTTTTTGAGGGTACTCAAAAAAAAAGGAAGGCAATAAAAAATACAAGATTATAGTTGGATCTAATGAAATTATAGAACTGCTTCGTTATTCTGGTACATATTAGAATTTTAGTATTGGACTTAGGAGTTTGATATAATATAGTTTATGATAAAAGTCTTCCATTAAGCTTAATCTTCTCAGTAACATTGGATTTCAACCCTTGTCCCCAAACCCAATATTTTTATTCTTGTCTTCCTATTCAATCTCACTGCAGCAGGACAGAACTCATCACTCTTCCTTGAAATTCTTTCTTCTGTATTGCACAGCACTATGATTTCCAGAAAATGTGCCTAACACTGTTTTTTATTAAAGTAAAAACAGCAACAGGAAACAAGATGTGCTTACTTGAAGATCAGTTAAGTGTTTAGTCTCATTAAATTGCATATGCATAAACAAACTAATTAGCATTCTTCATCTGTTCAACTGATGAAATTACACTATGAAACAGATGCACACAGTGCTGATACCTTGGAAACCTATGTTTGTCTTGTGTTTGTCAGCCAGGAATACAGAATATGTTCTTCAACTAAACTCGTGATGGTTTTTGTGTGTAACATTAGCAGTAACTTCAGAAATGGTTTGGTCAGTTGCTGAATTCAGTACATAGCTGGTTGTAGGAATGGTACTAACATGGTAAGGGAAAAACAAATTAATTAAAGTAATAAACTTGGTGACAAAGCCTTGGCAAGCAGTAGGATATATGTTCTCGGAAACTCAAAGAGTTTAATCATCCCCAAAGTTGATGATTAAACAGCCTCTAAATATACTGAATGCTCTGTCCCTTTTACTAGTAAGTGATTAACTCTGCTATAGTGAGAATAATGACCCAGGTACTGGCTACATATTTATAACCAGGATGCATTATTTTTCAGGTTAAGGGGCACTCCATCATTTAAACTCTAGGAGTGAATTAAGCACAAAAACCTTGTTTTTGTAAAAAGACCCAAGGAAAACACTCCATAGGTACTCTCTAACACAGAAAGCCTCTTTTACAACAGCAGGTCCTAAAGAGCAGATTTCAAACTAGAAGTGGGGGGTAGGGGGGAAGCCTGAGAATTAAGTCTCCACAGTAAAAGCAAATAGCTATATCCAACGTCCAATATCAGACCTCGGACCTAGCCATGCCAAAATCTGTGATTTAAGAGAAATAAGTGTTTTAAGATTAAATTCCAAAGTCTAGATTTTTAAGAGTAGCTGGAAGGAGGAGAGAACTTCAAAACAACTGCCTTAGTTAAAGATGCAGTTTTCATACTCCAGTACAAACTGGAACAACCATTTTCATAAACAAATGTCAAGACAACAGCTTAACTTTCAGGTAGACTGAAAATCTAGAAAGTTTTCGTTCCTCAAAAATTGAAAAAACATTAAATAAAATTCCATAAATCAGTCTTTTAAAATGTGTTTCTTTTCACTTTGCAGTAGGAAATATTTATAGAACTTTCCCCTGTGACGTATCAGGAAAGCAGGACAAAGTGGTAGAAAAATTGAGGAGAACATCCAAGTCTTTCCAGTACTAAGTTTAAAAAAAAGGCAAGCAAATTTAGACCCCTTCCTGCCATCATCCTCCCTAACTTTACCGTTATCTCTGCTTCCCTAGGGTCACACTTCTTGCAAGATCAGGCCTTATGTGCTGTGGTCACCTCCTTAAACAATATTTATTTCTAAGTCTACAACTCTCTGGCTTTTGCTTCCACTATGTTACCGAAACTCTCCTTGCTAAATTCAACCACGAGTTCCTAAAAGTTAAAGCTCAAGAATCTTTTGGCTCTTAACATACTTGAATTCTCCCTGCCATTTGCATTTTCTTTTTTATAGTCTCCACTCCTATAGATTCTTTGATATACTGGATTGCCTTCTACTTCATTCATTCATTTATTTAGTCACTTTTCATTCTATTCAACAAAGATTTATGGATGTGGCCTATATGTTTCAGGCACTCTTCTAGATGCAGGGCAGAGCAATGAATAAAGGACACTGCCTGCCCTCATTGAGTTTACAATCCAGCAGGGAAATGATTTCTGACACATCAGCTCCAAATGTGACATGTGCTACAAAAGCAGGAGGCACACAGTGCTCCAGGAGCGCAAATCAGGGATCGAAACCCAGTCCCAGAAGGAAGAGACATCCAAGCTGACGTGTGACCCTGAGCCAGGTGAACAGAGTTCCAGAGAGAACAGCACAAACTTGGAAGTCAAGACAGACCTAGTTATGTTCTAGGAACTGAAATAATTCCAGTCTGGCTAGAGCATGGGGTCAGGGAGAACAAGGTGATGATGGTGAGAGATGAGACACGCAGAGGTCCGGATTTTGGAGGGCTCTGTAAACCACGTTAAACAAATTAAAACTCTATTCCAAGGGCAATCAACTGAATGACCAAGGAGTAAGAATGTGAACAGATTAGATTGTATTTTTAAAAGATTATTTGGAATGCAGCGTGAGAAATGGGTCAGAGTTGGACAGGTGGCTGATCTG